AAAATTCCCGACAAATGACGCAGCTCAGGCCTCAGACCCGCTGAGCGCACTACAACCGAAGGACAACACTGCTGTAGCAGGTATTTTTTCGGTTGAAGGCACGCATGTGCGCGTGCTTGAAAGGAACACTGGCTCTTTGTGCGGGACCACAAGTATAACAAGAACACAACAACAACAACAACAACAACAACAACAACAACAACAACAACAACAACAACATCCAGGGCCCACCTCGACAACGCGGGCGTGGTGAACGTCGGCGAGTTCGCCACACTCTTAGTGGAGGGGGACGACAACGTTTTCGCGGGAAACGAGTGCGGCCAGAACGGTGCGGTGTTTGGAGCCACCACCGACACAGTCATCGTCATCGAGGGGGGGACCTTCTTCGGCAACGAGGCTGCGGATGTGAGAGAGGTGGCGGTTGGGGCAAAATACGCTTGTACTCCGTAGGCGATTCCCGATTTTGGTTATGATAGTAAAGAAAGGTAAGAGTATCTTAATCGCAAAAACAAACGCCTCCGGAGTATGGTACGAGCCTACGGCTTAAACGCTAGCGGTGGGTATTAATATATTTTATGTGCTTGCCTGACTTGCTATCTTCATCTGTATTTACCTTAAGGTTGCGAGTCACTGCACCCGCGTGCGGTTTTTTTTTCAACATTTTCGCCATTAACTTTGCATCGCACAGGGGGGCGATGACTCCGGACCGTGCGATGACTCCGGATCCTGTGCGGAACTCGAATTAATTCGTTTGTTTTGATATGTAACGCAAACCCCTGTGCGATACCTCCGGTATATGCGGTCCTGAGTAAACCCCGAAGGCGATATTATCAAGAATTTTCAACGCATCATGTACGATAACTCCGGTATGTGCGGTACTCGAAATACCTTTGCAGACGCACGGACACCTCAGTTATGGTGCGGTTGCAGGCTCCAAACGCAACGTACACACACGCTCGCATATCAGTCAACCACAGCAGTTAGCCCGGTGTACCATCTGTCCGAACGTTCTTGTGTGTGCATCCCGGCAAGACAGAGGTTGGCGCTGTTAGGTGTTTCTGGTAGTGACGGGGTTGAAGTTTGTTTGGTGTAGCGAAAGTAGAACATGGGTAGTGCTGCTGTTCCATGGTGCTGTTCCATGGTACTGCTGTTAGTGCTTGTTGGCTTATGGCTGCTGTTTTTCTTTCTCGTGTTTCGGTTGAATGGACAATGTTCAATTTTACCGATCCAATGGAATTTCAAATTTGTTTCATTCCTTCATACCTCCACCTGTGGTGTGCGATGTTGACATACCCATACAGCAGATCTAACATGCCAGCACTGGCATGGTTACAGGGGTGAGTTGTTGCCCCGGAATCGCTGGCACTCAACTACCCTACTGCTGTAGGTTGCGAGTCATCACACCCCTGTGCGGTGACTCCGGACCCTGTGAGGAAATCGAATTAAATCATTTAGCCATTTAGTTTGCATCGCACCCCTGTGCGATTACTCCGGACCGTGCGATGACTCGCAACCTTACGGTAATTATCGTTTAGCGTCGAGCGCTGGGTGTCGTTGCCACTGTTACTGTTGCTTTGTTTGTGTAGTATGCAGCAGTTTCGACAATATGCTTAATACAACTCGTCTTTCAATCAACTTTTCTCGTGTTTCAACTTTTTCGGTTTCGATATGCTGGTGACAATAGTAATAATATTCGGTGGCGAAATATGGTGTACTTTAACTTCGTGTGACGACTGCGCGTCTATTGGACAGCATTAGCAAAGGAGTCTCCTCAACAGAGTCTTGATATGCCGCAACTCATTCCTCCGCCGTTCTCACCCCAATCAAACCACCGCTCTTCTTGAATCCTCCCTGCATTTGTCGGAAAACTCAACCGGTAATATAGGGTGGCGGCGTGATCTGGACCAAGGGAAACGTGACCATCCTTGGGGGGAATTTTTCGGGGAACGCAGTGCCGGAAGCGGGAGGAGTAGTGCTCGCTGCGGAGGAAAGCACGGTCGTTATTGCAGGTACGAGAGACTGTTCTTGGTGGTGGTGGTGGTGGCGGTAGTGGAGGTGGTGGTAGTGGAGGTGGTGATTGTGGTGGTTGTCGCTGTCGTTGTTGATGTTGTCGTTGATGTTGTCCGTGTTGATGGTGGTGGTAGTTCTTGTTGTTGTTGGTGTATTGGGGTTGTTTTTGTTGTGTACTGACTGATAGTTTTCATTGCCCCCGTCGTTGCCTCGTTGTTGTTGCCGGTTATTGTTTTTTGTTATTTCTACTTTCTGTGTTATTTTTCTATCATATGTAGCCCCGGGACGTCGACCTAGCTTTCAAGCCAGGCGGAAGCATTAGCGTTGCACTGAAACCGTCTGGCTCGAACGCAACCTCACTTGTTTAGCAAGAGGCTACAAAAGACTTCCGGGTGTTCTTTGAGAAACTTCGGCTTTTTAAGGAGGCGCACTGTGTAAGTTCACGTGTACACAGCAGTCGATTGACTTACGTCGTCCGCGTATGTTCAGCGTATGTGCGTACCCGCTAGTTGGTGGCGGCTACGGTTTTTTTGAGGGGGCTCCGGGATAAGAGCGTCAAGGGTCTTTGTCACTCCACCCTCTTACATCGCAGCTGCTGTACTGCCCGTATCCCTTTACGCAAAGTACGCAGTGTTACAAGCTGCAAGCCTATAGATGAGACTTTCTTGTTGTAATCATAACCTTTCCTGCTCAATCTCGGTCTCGGTCTGGTCAAGGTGGTCTCTTCCAGGGTAACGAGGCATTGGACGGAGGCGTGGTGTTCGTGGGCGAGGGGGCGGCGGTGGAAGTGGAAGGAGGCGTTTTCGACTCGAACCTTGCTGGCAATGGGGGCGGCGCCTTCGCTGCGGAGGAAGACGGACACATCAGCGTGAGAGATGGAGAAAGGAGAGACAGATTGGCAGAGAAAAGTAGATACGGACACGTTATTGACACGAAGGCAGGCAGGCAGGCAGGCAGGCAGGCAGATAGGCAGACGCGTGAGAAGTGGAGAGAGAAGAGAGAGGGGAGACAGACAGATGGGCAGACAGGCAGGCAGACGGACAAACAGAAGGGGGGCTTTGCGGGTCTCGCAACAACTACGAGCCCCCATCCATCCTGACAATCAACACCCGGTACACGCCAACATCAATCCGCACAGATCACGCAAGGAACTTTCACCAATAACGAGGCCGACTTCGGGGGGTTTCTGTACAAGGAGGGGCCGGGAAACGCCTCCTGCACGGGTGCGAGCATCGCGGGGCACCGCGGTGTGAACGGGGGTGCCTTGTATGCGGTCGAGGGGCCCAAGCTGGAATGGGGGTGCGACCTGGTGAACAACTCCGCGCTCACGGGACCTGCCATGTGAGGTGTTTGCATGCGGGCGGAGTGGAGCTTGGTATCTCAGCTCACACAAGTTTGCGTGCGTGTGTTTTTTTATTTTTTGCTTCGACGGCGCTAACCGTCTGACCCATGAAAAGACGTCAGTCTCAGTGCGGTTGAAAACGCAAAACACTTCTAAACGCCATTAACTAGGACTCCGTGAGGGCGGCAGGGGGGAAGCTAAGCCATTCTCCGGATTAAGAAAGACATAAACGGTAGTAGCAGAGGAATATGCACGTGTCGACCAAGGCTGTTACCCTGCACACGAGTTCATTTGGAGTGCTTTCACCACCATCCTCCTTGCTGTCACCACCATCACTCTCATCATCTTATACAGCTATTTTCAGGCAGTTTTTTCTCTACCTAGCCCTCGTCGTTTTTTGTGGGGAAGGTCATCTGGCTCGAAGCTCTTGCTCTCTTCCACTCCATGCTTCCCTCCTCGATTGCTGTTTTGGTCGTTGTGTGTGTTTTTATTATTTGCTAATGTGTGTGGTTGTTTTTTAAGGTTATTGGGGGGGGGACGACACGACAGGCTATAGGCTGCCCTGGTCGACATACTATTCAGCATCGTGAATGAACCCAGATGAGTTTGTTAGACAAATGGTTGTAAAACAACAGGCGGTGCCGTTTCCATCTTCAATCCGGAGAATAGCGTGACGTCTCCTCACGCGACCGCAGATCATGGCCTGTAGGAGAATCGTGTTGCGTGTTTTTTCCGCACTGAGACTTGACTGCGTATTTTCGTTGGTCAGCCGGGTTGTAGCGCGGTCGATGCTAATGGTAATATCGCACACCCACACACACACTACATGTTGACGTTTTTTAATCCCGCTGTATGCATTAGACTGACGTATTTTCATTGGCACGCCCGTTGACGCCGTCGATGTACATACAACCATTACCAAACCAAACCAAAACCACACTATCGAACCAATTCCACCAACACAAAAAATCCAACCGAACCAAACCAAACCAAACCACACCGAACCAAACAGCTATGCTCGGGACAATGCGGAGGTGGTGCTTCGCGGGGTAGAGCTTTACGACAACTTCGTCGCTCGCGGGAGCGTCGTCTTCGTCGTTTCCAGCAACCTCACCACCTACCAGGTATTGCTGCTGCTGCTGCTGCTCCTGCTGCTGATGCTGCTGCTGTTGATATCGTTGGTTTAGATGTTGTTGTTGGTGTTGCTGCTGTTGCTGCTCCCCTTCCCAATAGTGACCCTTGCCATGGTTGCCATCTACACCGGACGTGCCTGAATGGGTGAAGGATTCATAGCAGTGAATATGTATGGGTGCGGTAGCTTCCCCAGAGGCCGAAAGAGAAGCGAAGGTAGACTCAAAGACCCTATTGCTTCGACTAGGCTATGTAGTTGTAGTGGCATTTTTCCAAAGATGGAAATCCCGATTGTACGCCTTTTACGTCCAAACCCACATGGGCCGCGGGAGATCTGCGTACTTCGTTGGAAGAAGGCACACAAGCGCGCTCTTGGCCCTCAGTACTCGCCTCACAGAGACATGTTTGCGTTCAAACCTTCGAGGCCGCGCAGTTGATTGCTGTGAGCCTCTTCGAGCCAAGTTTGGAGAGCTGGGGTGCGGTGTGTGTTCATCATGGTTGGTAAAATAGGAAATCCAATTTAGAATTCTGGACGATCCTGGTTGGAATTCCTCATGAATTCCCAGCTGGAATTGGTTGAAATTCCAAACTGGGAGTTTACTTCCAATCATTACATACTCTGCGCACACTGCGCCCTAGCTGCCCAAACTTTGCTCCGAGAAGATCACAGTAGTGGAGCGTACAGCCTTATCGGTTAGACATCAAGGGTCTGTGAGGCGAGGACGAACTGACGAAACGCCTCGGTGCGCTCTGCTTGCTATCCAGTACACAGACCTCCTGCTTTTGGGGTTGGGTGGAGCATTTTCTGTCGGTCCCCCGGATTCCCATCTTGGAAACATTTCCATAACAACCAGCCTTAGAGAGTGAGAGACATGCAGCAGGCCACACCATCACCATGTAGTGTTGTTATGCCTTGGACTAAGATACCATCTGGGCGGGTATATCTTTCTGGAATATCCCGACCACCTGCCCAGATTCCTAGTATTCCGACTTTAAGCAGGTAATAGTAATGGTTACTAGCAGCAGCAAGCGATGCGCAAGCTTTCCCCCTTGCTCAGTGTTGCCTGGGAGTGCGCGATAGCGAGCGACTGAGAGGAAAAGGAAGGATAAGGAAGGAATCAGACTGAAGAAGCGAAGCGGCTCCAACCTGCACACACTTGCCGGATTAGCTCCTCCACACTGAACCATCGTCACATCTCGTCACACTTGGCGTCGTCTTGGATTCGAACGTGAGTCCACAGTAGCATGTCCGTCAACACATATCACCAGCGTATCCCCCGGAGGCCCCGTAGACAGCATACTCTGCCGAGAACCCCGAACATTCCCCCCCCCTGCTCCGTACGAGATACGATCTACGAAATTCCCGTCACGACTATCATTGCCAGGAAAAAACGGCAATAAATCACGCTACCCATCCACCATATTCCAATCCAAACAATCTCCCAAAAAAACAATGTTCTACGAAATCTGTCGATCTCCCAATAAAACATGTTCTACGAAATCTTTCAAATCTTCTGATTGTGTCAAATTACAATCCCCTAAAAGGTCTGACAAATAACAAATGGCCCTCTTGAGAAAATGCTCTACCAAATTCTCAAGCAGTCCAACGCAGACAACTACCCTTTGAAAAATACCAAGTATAGATTAACGTTATGTCGGAGTTGCGTCAGAACGGGGACGGGTAACGCCGGGAAAACGTGCCCCAATTACTCAGAGCAACTTCCTCAGATAGAAATGATGTTCAACTCAATGACCAGTTCAACAACCTTCGGAAGCACAAATGCTTCAACCATAACTTTTCGAAACATGCCAAACCCTTCCTCCAGTGTACAGACAGACATGCAAGTACAGTGTAGCAAAGCCCGCAGCAAACCGATCAAGTGCATCCCAAAGTTGTTCGGAAACAAGCGACTAGTAAAACCTTCATCAATACTGCCGCAGCTTCGATTCCTCCATCTCAGCTAATCCATCCAACGGCCCACCTGCGGGGACATTCCATATACATGCAACGAAAATCCCATTCAATTTTCAATTCCATGTCAGCTCCACAGGTAAAACGCGGAAAATGATCCACACATGAACTTCCAAACCCGATTTCAAAATACGTCTTGTTGTACTGCGGCGGATAACATGGTATCACTCCCCCCCCCCTGATTTTCGATGGCAGTGCAACAATGAGGCGTGACTCCAAAACGTCCAGCTTGCCATCAGGTAAGACTCCAAACCGAAACAAGAAACCAAAATATATCAAAGAAAGAACGCCACACGTCCAGCACTACCAGTCTGCCGTACAAATAAATCCGTGTCATCACACAAATCGGTCTATTTCGGAAGGAAATTGGAAGTACTCCGCAAGGATTGACTCGTCGGGTACCGGTACATGGGAGGGACAGACAAACGGTGCGTGCCCCCCAACCTCTTACCCAGTAGGTCGCACGCCAAGCCAACGCCTACGTATACCCAGTACCACCTGAAAAAAAAAGCGGTAACTACCATAGAGAAGGTTGTCCTATAACAAAGAAGGTCAAACCAATGTGGAACAAACCCCACGCAGAAATATTCTACCACCGCCATTTGACATATGTTTCCTGGCAACAGCCCCCCTGCCGCAACATTACGTTTGTTTCCACAAAAAACAATACAAAAAACCTACCAGGAACTTTCCTGCCAATTGGCGTGGAAATCGGCGTCATTGCAAGGTAAAACGCGAGTAGACATCTCTACAGAACAGAACCAAAACAAAACGAAGTCTGAAATGCGCCAAGGAGGAATATTGATCTACACACACTCAAACAACGGTGAAGAGTGCAGCAGAGACATCGGATGTGAACGCCAAAAACACCAAAACGACAGACTGCACAACACGAAAATAATACTTCGAAGTACGCACTAAACATCACGTGCTTTGGCGAGATCAAGACCCCAGCAGAAGTCGCGCTGCTTGCGGTCATTGTTGGACTCGCCCGACCCTCCGAACTCCCTTCTCCGCTTCATGGTCCTCCTGCCGCTGTTCCGGCCGCGAACACGAGCGCCCCCGCCGTCCCCACCACCACATCTTTCCACGGTCGGAAGGGGTGCCTAACCCCAGCACGGGCCCCACTCTCCCAGCCTTCAACCGGCACAGCGTCCTCGGGTCGAAGGGGCGCAGCAGTGCCCGAAACCGGGCCACATCCATCCTCTTTCCGTGGTCATTGCTAGTGCTGCTGCTGCTGCTGCTGCTAGTGCTGCTGGATCCGTCGACCAGGTCGTCCACCCCGGGATCGTTGGCGCTGCGCACCCCCGAACACAAGGTGCCGGGATCGAAAGGGTGCGTGGGTGCCCCCCTCTCGCCGCAGTCGCTGTCATCCCAGCAGTTACCAACCTCACCTGCGCACCAACCGCCATCATCGCTGCCGTCGTCGATGCCGTTGACCACCGCTTCTCCGTTGCACGTACTGACCGCCCCCCCAACCGATATGGGGGAGGAAACGTCACCACCGGTCGCCATCGTAGCGGCCGGTGCCGTCGCCGCGGTCGCGGGTGGTGCCGTCACCGATGTCGCCACTCCAGCCGCCGATACCGCCGCTGTAGCCACCTGCGCGGGCTCTCGAGCCGTTCTCCCCGCCAGCGTCGCGGAAATAACAGTGTCACGGGGCACCGCCGACGTCGCCGCTGTAGCTGCTGCCGATGTTGCCGCTCCTGCCGGCACTGCGGGGACCCCGGCCATCCCCCCCGTCGCCTCCGAGGGGAGAACACTGCCGTCCGAGGTCGCCGCCGTCGCCGCTGGAGCTGCTGTCGATGCCGCCGCTCCTGCTGCCACTGCCGGGACTCCAGCCATCCCCCCTACCGACCCCCAAGACGCCCATCTGCCGAAAGCCCTAGCTGTTGAAGCTAATGGTGCAGTGATCGGAGTACGTGGGCACCCCAGCTGGCGTAATGATCTTGTGCGTTGTAGAGGAATGATCGTGGCCTGAGTTCAGGTAGAAGCACCGCTCCCCCTTGCTGTGTATCTTGGACGGGTGGTGTCGGTGGCGGAAGCCGGGCATCATGGACGGCAGGACTAGTCGGGTCCTTCTCCTGCCGTACAGCTTAACCTCTGGGTACCGCTTGTCTTCCTTGCTCACCTCCGCTGCGATGTTCAAAGAGTCGTTCACCCACGCGAAGGCCTCGGGCCAGATAGCACGGAAGGACCTATTGTGTTTGGGTGCGGCAGCTTCGTCAGAGGCCGAAAGAGAAACGAAGGTCGACTCAAGACATTATTGCTTAGAGAGTGAGAGACATGCAGCAGGCCACACCGTCGCCATGTAGCGTATCCATCAACACATTTCATCCGCGTATCCCCCGGAGGCCCCGTAGACAGTATACCCTGCCGAGCACCCCACACAGAATACTTTACCAAGTGTTGTAATATCGTTTGTGTGGGTTGTGTGTGACACCCAATATATCGGCATCTTGCTTTGTATGGCCGTCGGGCGATGTGTTCATGCACGTTCGCCGACTTCAACACATGTATAATGGAAATACCCGGCTGAAAACACACAGCTCGGTGTATGCATCGTGCTGCAACTGCACACAATTGTTATTGCCTCCCCCCCCCTGGTGTGAGCCATCGGGGTTGTACTGCATGTTTTTGCGTTTGTTTGTTTTTTTTGCGGCAACCATGAATGGTGGTCGAGTAGATTATGTTGTGCGGGGTTGAGAACCCTCACTCCGCACAAAGCGGATGATCGCACCACGTTGTGGTAAATTGGTCAAGCAGTGCTTATGGCTGTCTCTGGAAGTGGAAGCACCAGAAAATAAATTACTTCACTCGCAGCTGTCATCTGTTGCAAGGAAGTAAGCACACGAGGCCGAACACCCTTGGTAGGACGCAGCGCACCCTCCATGCGACTCGCCGAATACCTCACGGCGCTTCGCGCTTGGTGATGTGGGAGCCTGGTCCGGTGAGAACCCGGCGTGTTCCGTCCCGGATTTGTAGGGATGCGAGGTCAATGGTCGAACGACTACGGCATGCACGACTATGAGCCCCCGGATAGGCTTACTTTTGTTTGATGAATCTCTCAACCGTTTTTGTCGCACCTTTGTCTTAACTGTCTTGGGTGTTTCTTGTTTGTTGCAGACGGTTTTCACCGACACCGGGGGGTCTTCTGACCTGTCTGCGGTGCAAGCGGACGAGGACTCTAGCTACAAGGCTGAGGAGACTTCGTTCGTTGGCTTCGCCGGAGATGTAAGTTTTGTCGCAGGCTTGATAAAGTCGTTACTGTTGCTGTGGCTGCTGCTATTGCTTTTGTTGGTGCTGTTGTTGTTGTTGTGGTTGGTGATGTTTGTGGCGGTGTCGATGTTATTGTCGATGATAGCGGTGGTAGCGGTGGTTGGTTAACATTGTCGTTGTCATTTTTCTAACTTTCTTCCGTTCAACCATGTTAGATTTCCGCGTGGGTCGCTGACAGGCGAGCATTCCCATTTTTCGGCCTCTGACAGGTCCCCATTTCTCCCGTCCTTTTCATTCAGACTGCATTTGATTCTCCGCGCGGCTCTCCCTTTGTCGGGGCGTTCTGTGCGCTCCCCCCTCTCGTGGCCTGCGCGCACACACGTCACGGTCGCTCCACAGCCGTTCTCTCACCTGCCACTCCGTCGCTCACGTCGTCTTCCGTTCGCGTGTAGTTCAGGCCGTGCTTTCAGACAGAGCAGTACACAGCAGGTGCTGCTTTTCAACTCATGCATGCGTGGCTAAATTCTGTGCTGTTTTGTGCATTTGTTTTTTTTTTTCCCGCGCCGTGGTGCACAAGAAGGAGTGTGACGACCAGCTTTTGATACCCACATGAATATGTAATGGCAGTACTATCCATTCTTGTGTATTAGAAAACATACCGGGTCGACAAGTAGGTCGTTGTCGGTGTATAGGGCCTGAATGTACAAGGTTATATCGTGGCCTTTCCAGCAATCAATGTAAAATGCGTCGATACATCTTCTCCTATCCTGCAGTTTACGAAGGTCTAGCGTCTCTATCTCTCTACCAAATATGCGCTCTTGCTCTCTGTCTGTAGACTACTTTTAGTGCAATATGGACGCCTACACGCACCACTCTGTCTCTAGCTCAGCTCACGTGCTGCGTCGATACCCAACAAGTGGTGGTGTACTTCCTGGATGCACATACATGTGGTCTTTCCAGCACGCAACCGGTGCTAATGCCCCTTTCATCCTTTCTATATGTGGGTTTTTTCGTTATTCCGCAATATGCATCGTCTACGTGAATGCATCAAATCGTGCTGAAACTCCTGTATGTAGTTATTATTGTTCTTTCCGTACTTTTTTACCGCCGGGTATGCAGGTAAGCCGGTCGCCCCGGTGGTCTAGTTGGTATCCTCGAAACCTTCTAGAGGTCAGCTCAGGGGTTCGAATCCCGGCGTAAGCGAGCTTTTCCTGCAAAGTGAGTTTTTCTCTCGCTTCCGCTCCTGGCCTAGTGGATAGCGCTAGTTCGTGTGTACACAGAGGGAAGAGAGTGCTGAACTCTTCTCGCATCAAAAATCGAAGGCAACGTACCGCAGGAGGGGAGGGTAGAGAGGGGCCCTTCTGTGTGACCACGGGTTGGAGTAAACGGCACTAGTGCTGTGAGCGCTGATTTGAAGTGAAGACAAAAAAAGAAAAAAATGCATATGCAAATGTGCAATAATTGATGACGCTCTCCCACCCATCGTGAGGGAACGGGGGTGTCATGCATTTTGGTACAATCAGTAGTGTTGTATTATGCTGTCGTTCAAGCAACATGCAATGGATGCTCTGCCCCTTTCATCCTTTCCAGTGGCATTTGTTTACTCCGCTATTGAAGGCGGTAACCTTTGTAGACTACGAGGTAATTCGTTTTGCTGCTTTCTTTGTCATTCTGCGTAGTCCAGTTCTCATACACGGTGCATGGTGGAATAGAGTGTGGAATAGAGGTCCTTTCACACCCATCGTGAGGCAGAGGAGGTGGCATGCATTTCTTTGAAGAGCTGGATGTATGTCGTCGTTCAAAATTAAATAGACGGATGGGTGATGATACGCCTTCGGGAATTATGTGTGGCTTTGTTTTCTTTCAGTGGCCCATCCAATTCAACAAAGTTATGTACCCCACCAGTGGGGTAACGGTGGTATGTTCCCCACCAACCGTGGCACCACCCAAGCTGTACCGTTTCGGCCTCATGGTGGGTCCAATGATAGCCCTGCAACGCAATAACACGCTCGTTGAAGTCCTGTGCTGATTGGAGTCTTGTAGAGCGAGATATAGCTGGTGGGGTGTTTTAAGCGTTAACCACCCCACCGGTGGGGTGAATAAGAGATTACCCCACCGATGGGGTGTTTAGCCGTGCCGATTTTTTTTTCCCATGGGAACACTTTAGATCATCAGCAGTTGCGTCATTTAGAATATTATACAAAAAAATGGGAGATATAGTCTATATATGGATGGGTGTCAATCGTGCTAGAAGTATGGTGGTATTGCTTACACCTAAGACGTGCAGCAGCGGTTTCCACACTATATGCATAGGTGGCACTATTGTTTAAAGCGCACAGTGCAGTATCAAACAGTATTTTTGATGCGAGGTGGATGATTTGTTCAATGATATTTTGTAGGAATCGGTCGGGGTACAGCAGTGGTACTTCGGGCATTCATTTCGTATATACGTGTCGAGCATCAGATCCGCGTTTTTCAGCACTCTATTGTGTCGGTACATGAAATTTCAATGACACACAATAACAAGCGTACCCAGTCAACAATTCCACGCCCACTATTTACCGTCTACTTTTCGCTTCACTCAGCGTGGCGGCGTGAGCCCCAAAGACGCCGCCTCAGCAAGCGGCGAGGTGATGAGAGAGAATGTTTTGCGAAATGTGGCCCAGGCGAGAGAGAAAGCGGTTACTTGCTGAGCACTCCAGGAAGGAGCGTTATTAAAGATCCTTCATGCAGTTCTCCGTGTCATTAATCATCCATCATCCATGCGGTTATTAAATAGTGTATCTTTTTTTGCTTCATTGAGGACTCCATGCTCAGCTTGCTCTTGAGGTTTCCTTTTCTTTCAGTTTTTGTGACCCGGTATCTCCGAACATAAACCTACGGCCGTTTAGTTTCTCCGAGCTCTTTCGCATTAACGCTCACCTGCCCACCAACAACCCATTACACGCCAAGAAGTGTTCACATGTCCAGCTCGTGGACTCCATGTTGACGCATCCCTTCGCACCCCTTCGGTGTCGCAACTGACTACCGCACGTAATCAAGAGCAACGACAAGTAGACCAACAAGACGGCCATCCAAGAACGCCGATACAAGCGTCTTGCGGAACCCTTCTCTCAGCATGGCGGCGGAAGCCGCCAAAGAGCCTTGTACTGAAGTACGTCTTTGATTTCTTGTTAATTTTTGTTCTCGTCTCAGCGGCTGTTTCGGCGCCTCCAAAACCCTCCCATAAAGTAGTTCCGTTCGAATGGAAACAGTACGAACCGTATCCGTGGTCTGTGTCAGGGATATTTACGTGTCGGTATGTAGGCAGTAGACAGTAGCCAAGTTTTATCCCTTCTGTGTTCGTTGTTTGCAACATCGACAGTACCAGTAGGCTAGCCTAAGCGCGTTAGGTCTGTACGCCGTAGAATGATGCCGGTATCAGCAACCAGCGGTAGAGCAGCGACCACATACTGTGTGACCCGTTCCCGTACGGGACTATCCGCGAACGGTCAGGATAGTTCTCGGGGGACCCCAACATAGCCGGTTGACTATTCGGGGTCCCCAACAGTAGAACTTGTTTTTTGTTGTTTCTAGTGATCGAGAGCTGGCTCGCGCGCGCCTCTCTCTCACTCGCATCTTCTACCATCAAAACCTAGCCTCGGAATCAGCCAGTAACAACGGCATTAACGACATCTTGTACCTCATCGTTCCCACGGTCAATGAGTTGCGCACAGCACTCAGGAAGGTACCACCTCTCGCTTATACCGGGCTTGCCTTGCAATCTCGGCGAGCACCTGCGGTAAGCTTTCCAACGAGGTCAAACCCGACGTACTACCGCCGCAAGCTTTTACCAAGAGTCTGAGGCTACAATACTCAACAGAAAGCATGTGATGGTCTATGTAATGGAATTCTCGGCTGAGAACGGCAAGGGGCAGAGCGGGTCAGGGGGCTATTATATGGTACCTGGTAGGACGTAGTATGGTATAGTATAACCTACAGTCGACCCCGCTTTAAAAACACACCTCGTTTTCGTTAATTATTAGTTTTTTTTCGCGGGGAGTTCCTTTGAGGTTTCCGGGGACAGCATCGCACCATCCCCGGGGTCAATGGAGGCGAGCTAACATACGTCAAAATATGAGACTTGACAAGCATGATCACAGCATATGAAAAACGGCGGGCAACGTCGTGGAATCGTCCCGTACTTGTTACACTCAAAATCAACAGCCTCGTCGACGGTGGTACGCTATGAACACATCACCACTGGTTCCTCTGCGCCGTATTCCAGTAGTGCACAACAAGGACACAGAATAGTATTACTTCTTGCAACAGAAATCGCGAATCTTGGCTTGCATCTCCCCTCACCCCTTGACTTGAGATTCTTAATAGGTGAACGAATTCACAGCCAGCGATCGAACGAAGGTTGTCAAGAACGGGCCGGCAGACAAGAAACGTCAAGGTCGGGGCAAGGTTCAACCTCTGATTTTGGCTCAACAAAACGGCCGAGTCCGCCCCCCTTGTTGTTAAATTATTGATATTGTGTTAATTGCGGGTGCGGGTTCCGAGTTTTCGCGTATTTCTCATCATCCCTTCCCTGCCCTTCTACAAATAGGACCGACCGAAGCTGCTCGAGAAGAGAGAAGAGAGTGCACCTCAGCCTCTGTGAGCGATGATGTAATGGAGCACTCAGGCCTACGATCGTTTTCCCCCCTCGTTCGAAAGGAATCTCGCATACCCACACACACGGCTGCACAGGCAGACCTCGCGGAGCACCATTTTTTTCGAGGGACCCGTGGAGTATAAATAGTTTCCCCACCGTGTTTTCCATCCCCGGAGCACAACGTTTCTGAAAAAATGTGTCTAAAACCTAGGGAGTATCCTTATGCCCAGTGTCTGTAAAGCGGGGACGTCTGTGTTATCAAAAGGTGTTTGGTTGAACCAGCAGCTAGCTGTCACAAGTTTTGCTTCACCCCATTTCGACCATTTCACTCGAGTTACATTTTTTCCATGCTTTGTCGTCCAGTGGCCATATAGAGGTGGTGGGGCTTCAACCGAATTCCACTCGTCTGCACTTCTTCGTTGTTTTTTCCCAGCAAAGGCGGATTTATACTAATCTGGGGTTTGGTTGTGTGTAGTGAAGGTTAATTTTTTCTCATCGCACTTGATCACTTTTGGCACTAGGTGGATGCTCTTAAGGGCAAATGCACTCGTCACTCACGTATCTTCGTTCGTCGCGCATATCCGTGCTCGATTCACTTGATTTGGTTTTGCCTCGCAGGCGGTGGTCTTTAGCGAAGGGACTCTGTATCTCGACGATTGCAACTTCAGCGGCAGCTCTGCCTCGGTGCTGGTCTACTCGGAAGGGAATTCCTCCACCGTCGTGCGGAATGCCGTCCTGGGGGACTACAACTGTAAGAATTGACTATCCGCAGAGCCCCCCCAAAACGAATATTCCAAAAATATCACAGGGAAATCCCCTCGCCTTCCTTCTGTTTGTGTGATCCCGGCTGGTACTCATGATGTAGACTAGCCTCCAACGGGGGGACGAAAACATTCACACATTCACACACTCAACACATACACCATTATTACCCAATCGAAAATTGGAAATTGGCATGACATTTTGGAAGTACGTGTAAAATCCTAAAAGTGGGCCTGCTCGTTGATGAACTTGAACGTCAGGCTGCATCGACGGTGAATACGTTCATTCCCACGGGCCGTTCGTCGCTGCAAGTGAATGGCACGTATGTGTGACTACAAACGACGAAAGAAACCGATTCAATTAGCCCTTCATGCAACCCATGAAAATGATGAAAACATTAGTTTGACCGAGTAAGCCGTTGATGAAACATATGAAACCGTTCATTAACTCAGATTTCGACGTCCCCCAGGCTGCATTGGTGTATCAGATTGATTCTAACCGCCCGCTCGTCGCTGAACGTAAACATCACGTGCGTAATAACTACACGAGCGATAAATGAAACCGATTCATTCAGCCTTTCACAACACTGATGTTCATCAACAAATCAGATTTGGGGATCTCGGAGAGTGCTTTGGCGGACGGATCGCTGCTCATCGAAGTGAACGTGGGCGTCACCTACCTGTGACTACAAGCCTATATTGAAACCGTTTATGACACCATTTATAATGAAACAAGGTAGATTCGGACGTCCGATTGCTGCTGAACATGGGCGTCAACCGTGACGAACAACGATGAAATCGCTTGTGGAACCGATCAATGAAACTGTTCATAGCGAATCAGATTTCCACGGCCCACTCGTTGCGGCATGTGAATGTCACGCGTGGCTACGAACGATGAAAGGAACCAATTCATTCAACCTTTTATGAAACCGATGAAGTCGTCCCTTCAAACGATGAAAAACATCGTTGGTGAAACCGAAGAAGCCGTTCATTCAAGTCAGAGTTCGACGTCGTCGGGCCTAACGATGGCGAATGACATTTCTACGGCCCACTCGCTGATCAACATTGACGAGCTTCAGTTGTGACTACAGACGATGAAAGAAGCCGTTGACCGTTCATAAAACCGATAGAACCTTTCGTTAGTCCGATAATACCGATCGTGAAACCGTTGATGAAAACCGTTAACAATAGAAATCATATTTGGATGTTGCTGAGGCTGCTTTAACTGCGAATGAGATCTCTACGCCCCGCTCGCTTTTGAGCGTGGACGATAGTCAGTTGTGACTATGAACGAAAGACCGATTCAGCCTTTCGTAAAACCGTTGAAATTATCAGCGGAACCTAATGCTTCGTCCATACTGTCAAATTTCGACGTCCACGGGGCCGTCGACAGCCAATGAGATCTTTACGGCCGGCGCGCTGACGAACGTGAACGAGCGCCATGTGTGACAAAACCCGATGAAACCGTTGACGAAACCGTTCTTGATAATGAAACCGATGAAACCGTTCATGCAGCCGTCTTTCTTAAAATCGTTGTTCACGAACCCTTCAGATTTCGACGTGGCGGAGGCGGCTTCGACCGCGAACGTGATCCCTACGGCCCACTCGCTGATCAATGTGAATGTCACCTGCGATGGATGGATGCCGTTCTCGTCGACCCCTCCCTGCAGCGAGGGGTCCCCGTGTATCGACGGAGACCTCGGGGTGTACTGCCAGTGCTACACGCGGGAGTCTTCAATTGCAAAGGTTCGTGCCTTCGTGTCTTGGTTGTTGTCGGTGTTTTTTGTCCGCGCAATATCAGACGGAATCGGGTGCGAGCATCATGCTGCATTGGCTACCATAGCGGCGACAGCGATGGCAGCCGACAGATAAAACCTTGGTGTCGGCTTTTGGTACTTGACGTTCCGTTGCAGGGTTAGTAAGCGTTTGCTCTAAACAGTAGTCCACACGTACAATTGTATTGTAGGTATGTATGTTAAGTAAAAGAGTAAGTACTTTCCGTATTTGTACGTGTATATGGTAAGTAAAACAGTCAAGTATTCATGTATTTGTAGAACTACTATTTATGAAGCACTTTTTGTGTGCATGGTGAATGGAGTTCCATGTCTGTCTGTCCGCACGCACTCGTGAGAAATTGTGAAAATGTTTTTTTTTCATGTCTGAGAAGTGGAGCTGTTGCCCCTGCACGTACGTACGTGTCATTTTTCGTGCTCCAAGAACACCACACGCTCAAACCCGCCCCCGCCACTCTTCCCTACAGGGTTCCCCCTCCGAGACGTGCGTCACGGGAGACCCGGGGCTGCTTAGCCTCACAGTGCTGTCGGAACCCGCCGACGCCGTCTTCCCTACCATGCTCGACGGAGAACTCCTCCTTACCCTTAATGACGATGAAACGGTCACCACCAGCAGCAGTGCAGGGGGCTCCGGGGTAGCCTTGTCGGCTGGGGCGGGAACGGAAGGCGGCGTGATTTGGAACGTTTCGGCGTTGCTGTTGTCTTCGGAGGAAGGGTTGATGGAGTGGACGGTATTTCCGTCGACCGGTCTGCTGCTCCCGGGGCGGAGGTGAGGGAGGGTGTTTGGTGTTGTTGCTTTGTTGTAGTCTGCCGGGTGATACCCTCTAGTGTTGCAACAAGACGGTCGGGGTAGCAAGGTGATTGTCGTTGTTGTTTTCATGAGACGTGCGTTGCTCGGTGTCATTCTTTCCGCGCCACGTTGACCCACGTCCACCCCCGTACACTTCACGCGAGCTACATTTCGCGCGACCGCACGCTAGACCACGCGGTCCACCGCCTCCCAAGGATGCAAATTTGAACATTACCTTAACTGGGCCTGCCTACAAGGTGCCCATTCCCTATGCTAAACCCTATATTGTCGATGTTGGGGTACCCCACAGATTGGATTGCTCCGAGCTCGCGCACACTAAGAGCTGTACGGAACCCTAACCCTTCCTTCCGTACCCCCTGCCCGACAGCATCACACTCCACGTGGTGACCCTCCCCAGCGAAGACTTCAACGGAGAGGCCACCGTGAGCTTCCAGGCGGACGGGATGTCTCCTCCCGCTTCTCTTGTCGCCAAGGCCGCCGCTGCTGTTGTCGTCCAGACCACTTCATTGGCGGATGATGGGGAGGGGGAGATAGCCGCTGCTTCCTTCGACGTGTCCTTCGTCCATTGCGAAAGCGGGACATACTGGAACAACTCGTGCGATCCGGAAGGCGACTCCGTCTCTTGCTGCGAGCTGTGCACGGATGTCGGTGGAGACGAAGATGTGAGTGCATTGCCGCAGGAGAGCGCGATACCATCGTACCCACGAAGGTTTTCTTGTTCTCCCTCGCCCGCTCTTTCGTGTTCCGTCTGTGTGAATTGTGATATTGCCTACCCGCGATTGTTTTCTTTTTTTCTCGCTTTCTTTCTTTTTGTATTGTGACATGCGAAGTGCTTTTTGTTTGACAACAACGGCATCTATCCTGGGCGGTGAACCGCAGTGATGCGGGTCTCCACCGGTCGGTGTTGCACGGAACAGGAGGTAAAATACCCGTAAAGAACGTGAGACGGTGCAAGAGATATGAAGGCGACAACAACGGCAACCCATTTCGCCGCCACTCTGAGCCGCTACCGGTGGGTAGCAGACTGCCACCACCTGCATTTCACCACCCTTGAACGTTGACCGATCTTGCCCTTTGCTTGTTATCGTGTGGTTCGTTCAATTTCTGCGGTGAAATCAAACTTGGAAGGGGGTGAACTGCGAGATTGACGGCGCGACGACCCGAACCCTCCCCGTCCAGCCGGGGTACTGGCGAGCTTCGCTGGATTCCGACTACATCCGCCAATGCTTCAACGAGGTAAGGAAATTAGGTGTGTGGCGGGCAAATAATAAAATGTTGCGTGAACACCTGTCGTCCAAAAACCCCAAAGATTTGTCGTCCAAGCCCTAAAAATATAGTCGTCCAATAAAAACAAAATTGATCGTCCAAACCCCCCCAAAAATATATTTTTGTTATGATGAAATATGAAACGCACATATGTATTATTAATTCAGGCTCAATTTTGTACGAACAACGTTGAAGTAGGGGTGAGACACTTTGCTCCAACGGTGGGTACTACGTAAACTCTACCACGTGTTCATTGTTACCCGAACTCGATGATCATGCGACGAAATGAGAAATTGAGCCCGTATTCCTTGGCAGGAAGGGGGATGTTTGCTACTCTTAAAGACCTTGGGGGGGGTCTCGTGGAGAGCGTGCAAGCCGTGTGGTGTCAGGTTCGCTCAACTCGTGTGGTGTCTTTCATTTCCTCGCCCACTATAATACTGATTGCCGCAGTAAACAGACGTCTCAGGTCTACCCGGATATTGAGCGAGGCCCGAACCTGTACATGATCAAAACCCTCTCTCCCTTGGTCCCAGGTAGTTTTAACGTTCCCTGCAGTATCTCTAACCCCCCCCCCCGGCTCTTGCGCCTCCCCCGATGTTTGCCATCGGGGTTTGGGTTTTCGCCGCTTGGCAACGACGTTGTAAAACAAGCCCCCCACTCGTTGTTTGCCATCGGGATTGGGCTTTCGTCGCTTGGCAACGACGTTGTAAAAGAAGCCAATTCACTTCGTGAACTCGGCAACCAGGTTACCGTTCTTTTTTTTTACCTCGTTTTTTTTTTTGGCGGTAATCATAGTGGTGGTCGAGTAGATCATGTTGTGCGGGGTCGAGAACCCTCACTCCGCGCAACGGGGGATGATTGCACCACGTTGTGTTAAAATGGTCAAGCTTCCTCGAGGCAGTTACACAGTGCTTACAACTGTCTCTGGAAGTGAAAGCACCAGAAAATAAATTAAGTCATACGTAGCTGTCATCCGTACGCAAGGAAGTAAGCACAAGATGCCGAACACCCTTGGCAGGATGAAGCTCACCCTTCATGCGACTCGCCAAATACCTCACGGCGCTTCGCGCTTGGTGATGTGAGAGCCTGGTCCGGTGAGAACCCGGCGTGCTCCGTCCCGGCTTTGTAGGGATGCGAGGTCAATGGTCAAACGACTACGGCATGCACGACTATGAGTACACCCCCCCCCCCCCCGGCTCTTGCTCGAACCATGACGATGCACCACGTTGCAGGACGCCTGCCAAGGTGGAAGAATCGTCGCCAGCGAGCAGGAGTACTGCAACGCCGGCTACGAGGGGCCCCGTGAGTGCATAGTTTATCGTAGCGTATAATTGATGAAGAATAATTGCGATACCTTGCTGTCGATCCCTTTTTCCCATAATATGCGTTTTTACGTGTGGGGGGGATACTGTAAGTATTCCCTCCTTTTCCGTCTGTGACGACGAGGGACCCATAAGCAAGCGAGTGTCAGGCACAGTTCTGTGTCGTTTCGGATCCGAATATGCCTGAAGGTAACTTTAACAAACGCCGGGGAGATTGATATTCTAAACCGAAGTCGACTTTTCACGCAGAACCAGCTGTAATTTGTTTTTGTTCAAGTGGCAATAAACACCCGGCGGCAGCGGCGTTTGCGGTTGCTCCTGTTTCATGGTCCGACGGGGGGAGTGAATGTTGTTTACTCTCGCCCTTCCCCCACCTCTCGATTTGATGTATTCTGCCGTCTGCGTGTCTTCGGTGTGTTCGTCCGTTTCCCTTTACAGAGTGCGCCGTTTGTGCCTCGGGGTACGGCAGGGGGGTGGCCAACGCGTGCCACCTGTGCACGGCTAGCTTCAAGGGGGGCATGTACTTTGTTCTTGGTGTTACGGCACTGCTGACGTTCTTCGTGGCCGCACTGCTAGCGGTGTACCTGGTGAGAGAAAGAAGATTATAGTAGCGATGAGGGCCTTAATTTCGTTCGGCGGACGTTCATAGTTCGGAAGACAGTGAATGACGTTGCCGAGTCGTTTGTCTCCGGAAATCACAGAAAGGAGTGAAATTACGCACCCGTCAGCGGTGTTCCGGACAACCCCCCCCCCTATTACTACTCCTAGCTAATGACCTGCGAAACCGCTACAGCCTGGTACAATAAACTAGAAATGTTGCCGAACCTCGCGATTCCCAACTAGAGATTTACTCTCATGTCGGGGATATCCGTCTGTGTGCCTTATGGCAAATGAGAGCACACCTAGCTGCAACAGCACTCTAGTGTGTGCCTCTTCTTGGTCGGCAGGGCATCAGACCTTCGGATCCGATTGCTTCTTCAGCCGTCGCTGTTTGCAAGCCCTCATCTCCCGGATGTCACAAGTGTAAGAGTGTGTTGTACAATCTGGTGTTTTGGCATGTCATGGCAGGAAAGAAAACATAAGATGGGGCAGGAAAACCAAGCTCCTGCCCCCGCAATCAACAAAACCTGAACCCCCCCACCTGCGAAAACCAACAACACTCATTCAGGTGGGAGGCAGGGGCGCGGTGTCAAACACCTTGACCAACACCCGGGAATGGGCAAGGACGCTACAGAGGCGCGGCTCCGGCCTGCTCCGCTGGGAGGGGACGACCCGCCGTTTTGACTTTAGAGCCAGCGGGGGGGGCAGCGAGGGTCACCCCACTAAGGGTAGCGGCGCTCTCAAGAGCGTCGGCGAAGAGAGCGATGGCGGCGAAAGCGGCGGAACCGGCCGGTTCATGGGGGTATGGGGTCGCCGAAAGAGCGCCAGCATCGGGGCCCCGCCTCCCGGCGCTACTGCGACCTCCGCTGCTGCGGCTACAGGCCCATTGAGCTCCGTCACTGACATTAAGGGTGGAGGGAGCAAGCCGGACTCTGCCGGCGCCGTGGGAGCCGGCTTTGTTCCCCCTGCTCGGAGCCCTGCCGCCGCCGCCGCTTGGGACGCTGCAGCCGGTAGCGCCCTTGTACACCCCACCATGCGGCGGGCCGACAAAGAAGGGGAGGCGGACGCGAGCAACAACACAGTGGGGAGCAGCAGCAGCGGCAGCGGCCTACAATCCTGTGCCGCGCCGGCCGTGCGGGGCCCCGGCAGCGGCGGGAAGGGGGCATGCGGAGGGCAGCAGCAAGGAGGAGGTGGCGGCGACAGGAAGAAGAAGACGGCCGCGGCCAGGGTGGGGGAGATGCTGGCGCGTCTGCCCCTGTCCAAGCTCAAGATCGTCGTAGGTGCGCAGTATTTATTGGGTGAAACGGAAGAGAGAGCGAGGAGATTGTGTGTATCTGTGTTGTTCATTCTGTTGCCTGGGCGACCGTCTAATGTTTCTGAATCTCGCCCCCGAAATCGTACGCGACAGACGCAAAGTGCGCTCGTGCGGGAGCATTACTTTGTAGCCTCCCCTGGTACAGCATTGTGAAGAGCCGGTTTACTCTAAACGCCGTCCTGCTTTGATTGGGGCACATATCGCATGCCTTCGTTGATCCTCACGACCTCTCCCTCCCCGCCCAACGTTTCTGCGATGTCCCCCCTTCCCTCACCGTTGTCGTCGTCCTTTGTGCCGCTGTGTTTCCTTGTTGTTGTTCCCCGGCTTTCGACTGATCCACGGAACCCCTCGTGATGATGGCAGTCGTGTGGCAGATATCGAACGCGGTGAGAGCTATTTACAAGTGCTGCGTTGTGGTGGCACAGAAGTAACTCGGTGTTCGTAGTTTGCTCTCCTGGATGAACCCATTTTGGGGGGTGGAACATCGATGCCGGGAATGTTGTCCAGAGAACCTCAGTGTTCCCTCCCTCTCTCTCTCTCTCTCCCTCTCTTTCTCTGCCTGACGATTCCACAGTCAGTGTGCCGTGTAATTCCATCCTCTTGTGCCGCAATACATCGCTTACCTTATTCTTCCCTCTGGCGCGTGTAACCGAAAAACAAACGTTTCGCCGCCGTCTACGACAACGACCGACGCCTTGTTCTTCCTTCAGTTTGCGGAGATCACGAAGGTGCCGTTCCCCCCGGTATACGAGAAATTCCTGTCTATCATCGGGATATTCTCGTTCGACCTTGGCTGGATGATGTCGGCGGCGTGCCTGACCGCGGGCATCGACTTCTACGACAAGCTTCTGTGAGGCTGGCCCTGAATCTGACTCTGTTGTTCGGTCTCATCTCTCTTGATGTTGTTGTTGTTGTTGCTGCTGTGATGCCATGATTTTGGGTCATCGACTGCTACGACAAGCTTGGAGGACATTCTGTCACTTCCATCTCTCTCCGTGCCTGTCGTTGGTGGTTGTGGTGGTGGCGCTAGGTGGTGCTGGTGCTGGTGCCGCTGTTCATAATTGCCCTGCTGTGAGCTCCAGAGTCCAAAGAGTGTTGTTAACCGCATGTATGAGATCGTAGGGGCGACATCAGAGAGGAGGAAGAGCAGGAGAAAGGAGGAGTGCCAGTCAACCAGTCGAGACGGGGGGGGGCGCAACTCGTATCCCAAAGGCTCTCCTAGCATGTCCCTCAAGGTCATCCCCATCTGCGACATACGAAACCGCCAGTAGCGGTACAATCCGACCAATCTACCTCCACGCACGAAAACGGTCTAAGATCCCTCTCGTCATCTCTCGTACATTCAGGTTACTTTTCTCTCCGTGGCACGTACTTCGTTCGTATCGCAGGATCGTCACCATTGGACCCGTGGGCCTCCTCCTCCTGCTCGGCTTCACGTTTTACCTCGGCGCCCGGCCTGTCCGCAAGGGGAGGGTAATTGACACGAGGGCCCGCAGCAACGCCAGCAGCAGTGGGAGCGTGAGTCCTCATGCACCAGCAGCGAGCGATTCTGCGCGCGGCACCGCTTCCGCTAGACGGGGGAAGGGGGCTTCGCGTTCTCCGAGGGCGGCGGCAGCGGCGGCGGCGGCGGCGGCGGAGAGGGCACGGCAGGGAAGGGCGAGGCCGTCTGCTAGGAGGGTCTGGAGGAACGGTCCCGGTGACGAGTCGGACCTGGAGCAGGTGGGTTGGGGAGGTGCATGCTGTAGACCGTTGACTTTCGCATCCTGGAGAGGACGGAGCGCGTGCAGAAGGGTGTGTACTCATGTAAACCCATTCCGTAGTCGGTAGACCGTTGATCTCGCATCCTGGAGAGAGGTTGGAGCGATTTAGGGGGTGCTCATGTAAACACACGCTGTAGTCGGTAGATTGTTGACCTCGCATCCCTTCTGAGCGATTTCGCGGCCCAGGCTAGGCTTCACAAGGATGAACCAGACGGGGGGTGGGGGGGGGGTCGTGCATGCCGTAGTCGTTTGACCATTGACCTCGCATCCCTACAAAGCCGGGACGGAGCATGCCGGGTTCTCACCGGACCAGGCTCTCACATCACCAAGCGCGAAGCGCCGTGAGGTATTCGGCGAGTCGCATGAAGGGTGCGCTGCATCCTGCTAAGGGTGTTCCGCATCTTGTGCTTACTTCCTTGCGTACGGATGACAGCTGCGTATGACTGAATTGTTTTTCTGGTGCTTTCACTTCCAGAGACATGTGTAACTGCCTCGAGGAAGCTTGATCATTTTAACACAACGTGGTGCAATCATCCCCCGTTGCGCGGAGTGAGGGTTCTCGACCCCGCACAACATGATCTACTCGACCACCATCATGGTTACCGCCAAAAAGAAAACAAAGGTAAACAAAAACGGTAACCTGGTTGCCGAGTTCACGAAGTGAATTGGCTTGTTTTACAACGTCGCTGCCAAGCGACGACAAACCCAATCCCGATGGCAAACACCGAGGGGGCGGCTTGTTTTACAACGTCGTTGCCAAGCGACGAAAACCCAACCCCGATGGCAAACACCGG